AGCTTGTTAATACTTGTTTATGTATTTTCGAAACCTTTTTGTGGTGACATATTTGTGGGCTGTTGTTGTGATGTTAAAAGCTTTCAAGCTGAGACAGAGAAGCTGTTGGTTTATGTTACCTGAATTTCTACACGAGTGTCTGCAGCTTACGGTGCAGGTTGTTAGCTTTTACATCAATCCACAGGCTATATTACCCTCTCTGCATTGAGAAGTGCGCCAATAGTTTTTCAGAAATGATGAACTCCTACGCTTGTTTCAAAGTAGACTGAGTGGTTATATTTCAGTTGAACGATATTTCTCAAATGAGACTAACTGTAATGGGCTTCATGTGGGCTGGCTTCATTATGTTACAGGAAAGTGAACGAGAGAGGGTGTGGGTGTGTAGGGCTACAGCATGAGCTGAATATGAGATTTGTTTTATTGGTTTTTATAAAAACGCATATAGTTACTTGATGAATCTGATTTTCTCACATTTTTTAAGATCCCAGCAAACAGACATTAAAGGGACAGCTACTGTAATTAAATTACTTTTACGCTGAAAAAGAATAGGGATTACATTTTATTTTTGGGGTAATTTAACAATGGTTATTTATAATATACTAGCCGTCAAGACTGTATATACATTTGACAGTTTTATAAATCAATTCAGAGAAGCAGAGTAATTGCAAAATAATTCTAATTTTCAACTAAAGAAGATTTATCAAGACAACTGCATATGCTGAAACTAGTTCACAGAAATACTCAAATATTATTACAATACAATTTGAATTCAGAGTAGCAGAGTAACTATATAAATATATTTATATAAGTCACTCTGCTACTCTGAATTCAAATTGTCTATTGTATATTGTATATGTACTTAAATTTTTATATATTTTATTCATTTTCTTTTCAGCTTAGTCCCTTCATTAATCATTGGTTGCCATAGCGGACTGAACCGCCAACTTATCCAGCATATGTTTTTACACAGCGGATGCCCTTCCAGTTGCAACGAATCTCTGGTAAACATCCATACACACTCATACACAACGGTCAATTTAGCTTACCCACTTCACCTGTACCACATGTCTTTGGACTGTGGGGGAAACTGGAGCACCCAGAGGAAACCCACGCGTACACAGGGAGAAAAAGCAAACTCCACTCAGAAATGCCAACTGACCCAGTCTAGGCTCGAACCAGCGACCTTTTTGCTTTGAGGCAACAGCACTACCTACTGCACCACTGCGTCGCCTGAATATATATATATATATATATATATATATATACATTTTTGCGATTCCCGCATGTAAATTTTTTGATATTTAAATGTTTGGCATAATTACTCCATTTCTCAACTAAAGATTATTTTTATTGTTTTTTTTTTAAGTTTTATTTTTCAGAAAATTGCACATGCTTACACTTTTAACGATTTTTTGTAAATTACATAGTATATGAACTTTTACTGTATTTTTATTTTCTCTGTTGGGCCATTATGCAGTATGTTACTGTATTTTAAAGTTGCATGGTGAAAATAATTGTTTTTACAGTAAAGATATACAATACTGTTCAGATATACAGTTCAATGTACAGATATACAATACAGTAAAGATATATAATACTGTAAATTTGTCTACCAAATGGTGCTGTAATTCTAAATACAGTATTTTTGCTATAATTGATTTACAGTACTGCTGCCAGTAAGTTACTGTAGATGGTATAGGAAATCGTTAACAGTGTACGAAACAATGAAAGCTTATAAACATGTATAGGGTATAGCGATGATGCCTCACAGCAAGAAGGTCGCCGGTTTGAGTACCAGCTGGGTCAATTGGCATTTCTGTGTGGAGTTTGCATGTTCTCCCTGTGTTTGCATGTTTTTCTTCTGGGTTCTTCGGTGCTGTAGGTGAATTTATAAGCTAAATTGTTTGTGGTGTATGTGTGTATGTCATCCTCTAGTTTGGGGGGTTGAGTGTTGGGCTAACAACCCACCCCATAAAAACTAGATGTTATGAAACACCAATATGGTGCGGCTAAATTTCTAGTTCATAAATGACCCTGTGAGTAAGTAGGTATATGGAATGAAGTATGGCGTCATTAATTTGAAATATTTTTTGTCTTGATGCTTATATTGCACTGAAAAAAAAGATTCAAAGATGATTCCATTTCCTTGGATTTCCTTTTTTTTTTTAAATTTAAGTAGTTGTAAATTTATTTGGGCTGGATTTAAGCAAATGAATTAAGTTGAGCGTTACTAAATTTATTTTGTTTAAATTCAACAAAAAGAAATTGTTTGCACCAATTTTGCAGTAAACTTTTTTACTGTGTTTAAGGGTTATATTTCTTAAACAAAACAAAAAGTCTTGTTTATCGTGTTTAAGAGTTTAAATTCTGATATTTTAGATTTTGCTGATTTGTAGTATTTAGTCCAGTAATTCAGTTGCTTATTATTTGATTATTTTTAGACAAAATAACTAGAAAAGTAATGAAAATACACTTTTAATGACGTAATAAGTAATTTATTACTTTTTGAAGTAACTTACCCAACACTGGTAATGTAATAACATTTTTATGCTCTCAAAATGCTAGTCATGGACTAGTATTTTATCAATAATCATACAGTTTTAGCTAAAAGAAATCTAGGATGGTAGAATAGTAAAATATGCAAATGAGTGAACTATCCCTTTAAGTCTATGCAACTGTTTAAACTTGGGAAAAAAGGTTAAACATCAGTTTTGCGAAGTGTTGTGTAGGTAAAGTATTAAAACGTTATAAAAACAGAGCGGCTGTCTCTCTCAAGTAATTATTCACACCCATTTTAGGCATTAACGGAACCACTACCCAAATGACTAGCCTGTATTTTAAATAAACTTTTTAAAATCTATTGGTATTGTGGTAAATTAAGGGCCAAGACATGGTGCCATTAAAATGAGAGTATTTCTACAAATATATCAGTGCAACCACTGATTCCACGCCCTGTCATTTTCCAGGAATAGATGGACGGGTAGTGAAATTACAGCTTTTGAAAGGGTGGAAATTTATGCACTGTCAGTTTAGAACTAGAAGCGACAGTTAGAGTTTTATCGGTTGTGAATGTCAGAATGATGTTTGTATTAGTGACTGTTAACACTGTTACTCATCTCCATCCCAAGATTTTGCAGTGAATCTATTAAAAGTAGCTGTGCCAAGATTAACTGTTATTCATTTGGTGATGCTGTACTGTACTGTGCATTTTTACAGTGGAATTGCACGAATGAGTATTTTTAAAATTGTAATGGACAACATGAGCTTAATATGTTATTATTAACTGGGGCTGTTCGTAATTGCACAGTTCACATTACAGCGCTTGCAAGGAGACCTGCTTAACCTGAACACTAACATAATTTAATCCCGTTTACATTTTACTTAAAGTAAGACCTCAGGGGTAAACATATTTATTATAACATCATAATATAGGAATATGATGTCTTATTATGGATAAGAGCACCTGATGAATGTGGACTGTCTTTCTGACAAGATATCACATTTAATAAAATTTCCAGAAAAGAAATAGTTTACAGAAAGCATATAAATCCATTAAAGTCTATACATTTTGTAATACAGTTTCAAAATGTGAGCAAACCAACATTACATTGTCATTTAGTGTAAACCATGTATTTATTTAGAAGTTAAGCAACATACTTCACCTGGCCTAAACTTATTAAACAGTACTTGATTGTTTAAATTTTATATTTAACATGTTAAATTACTGCTTTATGCTTATGGCTGAGAATTATGATTTGAAATGAAACATTTTAGGGTATTTTGTGAATCTTGTTTTAAAAACTGTCTGGAAACCCCATTTCTTTTATTTTCCAAGCTTCTTACAGGTTACTTTACATGAACTACAACCAAAACAATATGAATGTACATAATTGGTGATTATGATTCAAGTTCAGGCCTGTAGCCAGGCATGGTTCAGGTGGTTCCAAAGACCAACCCCCAACTGACAATGGTCCAGAATTTGTTTCAAACAGGAGCTCATTTGTGTTATTTTGACTGTTAAGACATCCTATCAAATAACCTATCAAAGGCTTTAGGACCAAGCGAAATCTGACATAAAATTAAATAGTTAAATAGAGAAAATATTTTACAAGAAACTTTTATTCTAAATCTTGAACCTTATTCTTGAAAGAAAATGTTGTTTTTTTTCTCTCCAAATTTTAATGCTAATAATTAGGTGTTTATGTTGATGTAACTAATTCAGGGTTGTTGTTATCCATGAAGTTTCAAATGTACTTTTTACAAGAGAGGGTAGAAAAATTGTCAAGCTTTACATTATTACTTTTAATTGTTTAATATTCAAATGGCCAAAGACAATGTAAAATTACAAATTATGAAATTAAAAACTTTATTATATTTATTTCATTTTTTCCCTATTGATATACAATGTAACAATTGTATTTTTAAAATAAGTATGTTTTTTTTCTTCATATTTCTTTATTCTAAAACTTTAGGGAATATTTTTAGTACATCAAAAAGTGTGATTATGATGACCATCCGACAAGTTAATCCAGCTAAAAATAGTGCTTAAAATGTCACTAAATGCAGTATTTAATTCTCATCATTAAATACAAAATTAAGTGAATGAAGTTTTAAAAACGTATAAACCCAAATTAACTCATAAACGATGCAAATCTTAGCAACAGCTTAAACTATGCTATAATATCTGCATACCCATCACTAAATCATTGCTGTAGTATAAAGTTTTTTTTCATCTGCAACCATGTGCACCTTTTCATTTGTCCGAATTGGCGCAATCTCTCCAAGGGGTGGCGTTTCACACCCGCTTCTGTCTCTGGTGCTCCTGAAATCACCCCCTCCGTCGTTCTTATCAGCAATTCAGATTGCACGCAAATACCCTGTGAAAGGAGCGTCACTCTGAAAGGACAGCGAGTGTGCGCGCGCGAAGGGGGGGGGGGAGCAGAGGCATTCCTCACTCCTCACTCTATTCTTCTCCGTCCGCCGGCTGATGCTCGCGGTTCACTCTCAGCACAGATATGAGCGCAGACCGCACACAACTTTGAGGAACATCGAGAGCAGCGCGCGCTAGGATTACTATTTTCACTCAACTAACTGCAGAAGTCCTCCGGCGTTTGTATTGCGAGTTCCCAACTTTCCTTTTCATCCGTTCGGTTTGGCCATGGGCTCTGCGGACAGAAAAGCGGTTTATTGGCCCGTTTGGTCATTTGCTCTGGTTTTTGTGCTTTTGATTCAGCGTTGTCATGGAGGTTGTTCCGAAAAGGAGCTGGAAAAGAGAGAAGAAGAAGCGAATGTAGTTTTAACCGGGACTGTGGAGGAGATCTTGAACATGGATCCGGTGCACAACACTTATTCCTGCAAGGTAAGAATTCATGCTATTCTTCACATGCGCCAAAAGTGAAAGTAAATAAAAAAGGTAACCCACCGTATCACAGCTTTAGGTTGTATTTTAATACCTGTTGTCACAGTGCAACAGTTTTGCAGTCCGTATCACCTGTTAGACACACAGACAAAAGCTACCAGTGCAGTATTTGAGTTGTCATATTCCGAAAGTCGATTATTATGTAAAATGCTGATTTTGAGGTTATAATGAATCATGGACATATTGTAGCTGCAACCACTCTTTTCACTATTAAACACTATTGAAATAAGAATAAAGGTGTGAGGAAAAACAAAGAGTCCCAAAATAACCTTTTAAGCTCTTCAAGTTATATTGTTTTCAAGAGAGTTTTAATAAAAAGGTTGCATGGATGTTAAAGGTTCTTCATGGAACCATTAATGTCTCTAAATATTCTTAATTCTTTAGGATGTAACTGTTGATAAATAACATGACTATGTGTTAAACTGCTCCCAACAAGATTTTCTTACTTGAGGACATTGGTTCTGCTCAGTTAATGAAAACTGTCAACCTGCACAGTCCTTCTTTGATCCACCTGTAATTTGATCTTTCATACATGAGGAACCCGAACCTCAGCCTTTGCAGTGACTTGATGTCCTTTCAGGCTCTATTAGTGCTTTGGCTTCAATTATCTTCAATTATCATGTAATCATGGGCTTATTTTGTTAGAAGTAACTGAATGCGGTTACTTATATCAAAGTCTTGCAGCAATTAATCACCAGGACATAAAAAGTGGGAAGAGTAATCTGAAATTGTGGCTATTCCCATTATTATTTCATTGTTTGGTGAACGGTTAACACTGAAAAGCATTTAAGAAAAGTCTTTTTAGACTAAAATCTGAGATCACTAGTTCAAAAATGTTATTTTTTACATTTGTAAAAAGCAAAAATTGTATCAAAAGCATGACCGTTTAAACAGACAGTTAAATAGACAATATTAAAAAAAATCCAGATTCTATGGATTTAATGACAGCCGCAACATAACCAAACATGTTCATCCTATGTCTTACCTTAATGTAATGTAAATGTGTTTTTTGCAGAGGTTTTCACAAGATATTGCAATATTGTATAAAATTCAACTTAAGTTACCCACATAAATCTTTAGTAGACATTTATTTATTTATTTATTATCTTTTTTTCACAGCTAAAATACCATTTTGTGCATTAAGAGAGTTTCTATGGTTATTAAAGTGTATGAAACCATAGATGTCAACAAAGAACTTTTATTTTAAGCATTTAATAAGTGTACTGCAGAGATATGTCGCAGAGTCTTGTGCAGCCGGCAGTAGGTGGCCACTCTGGAATGTGCAAGAAAGTGACCTTGATCTGGTGAAATGGTGTTTTCTTAATCTCATGTTGTCTTCCCTGTGTCTGAAGGTCAGAGTATGGCGCTACCTGAAAGGCAAGACCATGGTAAATGGAGAAGTGCTGCTGGATGGAGGAAACAAAGTGATGATCGGTGGGTTTGGGGACCCCCATATTTGTGACAATCAAGTGGCCACCGGAGATACCCGCATTTTCTTTGTCAACTTGGCTCCTGAGTACATGTGGCCGAACCACAAGAACAAACTGATGCTCAACTCAAGCCTGATGAGGATTACTCTCCGCAACTTGGAGGAGGTAGAGCACTGCGTTGAAGGTAAAAAAAAATAATAGTAAAAATACACTCTCCTGACTCAGCATAAAGCTGCTGGCTGTGTAGAGATTTGAAAGTTAGAAAAGCTCCCATGGTAGTGACAGCGCTCTTGATTGCAAAAACAGGTGGTGTTTTCTCTTCTAACTGCATCTTCGTTCTACCTAATGATGCAAATCGTGTTTTGTGACATTAACCCTTTAGGTTACATTAATTCAGCTTTTTAAATCAATCTTTCTCTTGTCTTTGATTCTTTTTTTCAACTTCTGTTTCCTTTTTTAACTCCTCAGCTGTTCTTATTGAATTTTCTTAAGCCTCAGGGCCTTTAAAGCTAAGCATATTATGTGCGCCCTCGCTAGCAATCAGCCACTGACAGTCAATGCTCTCGAAGGAGGGTGTGTCTGTTCGCTAACTGAACACCTCCAGGGCCTTTGACTAACCTGAGTGAAAGTCCAAACCTCTACCTTTCCTTGAGGGAAATCATTTATAGAGCTGGAGTGGAGATACTAAAACCTAACGGCAAATCTTCAAGCTATGTGGCCCTCGCATGGGCCCCTGTGTCTGTGTTATGATGGCATTCACTGCTTATTTCCACATTCCCCAGGATAAACTGTTAGAAGTAAGTTTGCCTATTTGGGGGGAACATAAAAATGTATAGTACAAATAAGACCAGACAGTTTTTGAAACTCCATAGTGCTTTTGCTTTATTAATGTAAATGTAAAATAGTGGCTGTCCTTCTACTATTAATGGCAAGTTCCTTTTTCCATTTTGTAAGTCAGCAGTGCTTGTAGTTTAATCTTGTTTAGTGCTCTACATTGCTGGCAGCAGTACAAGCAGAGAAAATACACATTAGTCTGGAATACAACAGAGCGTTTGAAGCTAGCATCACTCTTTTAGGTCCAATCGATTGTGTAAATCGGCACTCTGCATCCTCTTTGCATGGCAGGTTGTATTGTGTAGACCTATTGACAAAGTCTGGTCCGTTTTGTTTGTGGCTTATTCTGGCCAAGAATCACAGACTTTATTGGAAAGCTTTCTTGACTGACTTTTAAAAGTTAGAAAGTGTTGTTTGGTGTGCCATATTGAGGGCAGGGCGTATAAAGATGTTAACACTTCTAGTAACAACACAAAAGTGTTGGTTAAACACTTTGAAAGCACCTTAAAAGAAAATGCTGACACCTTACCAGAAGAAAAACATTCACTGTAGATTTGTTCAAAATTTCTGTCTAAGAAGTACTGATTTTAAAAACCTAGCTCGGGAAATTTTAAAAAATAATATTTTTAAGGAAAGTTAATTACATTTTTTGTTTATTTCTTGAATATTTTTTCAATGATTTATAATGAATTGCTACTATTCGGGCAAATTTGGTAAAATCTAAATCAGTCTTTATTGTAATTTAACAATAAACTACAATAATTGTTTCAGGAGAATTGATAATTTGTGAAACTCCTAGATTATATAGTTAAACGGATATTTCATGCGAAAATGAAAATTGAGTTGAGCATTCTTGCTGTTGTTGTTTATCTTCAAACACCTAAAGTCCATCTGTTGAAGGTCCAATACACTAAAACTTTGATGCTTCAAAATGTACATTAAGGCATCATTAAATAAACTCATTTGAGTGAAGCTACATGAACTACACATTTAAGTTAGTAAATAAGATTGGCATTGGCAGATCAACACATTGGCAGATCAACACAGTCTTGCAGTATTTCATTAAGTCTATATATAAATATACAGTTGAAGTCAGAATTATTAGTCCCCCTGTTTATTTTTCCCCCAATTTCTGTTTAACAGAGAGATTTTTTTCAACACAAATTTATAGCATAATAGTTTTAATAACTCATCTCTAATAACTGATTTCTTTTATCTTTGCCATCATGCGAGTAAATAATATTTTGCTAGATATTTTTCCAGACACTTCTATACAGCTGAAAGTGACATTTAAAAGCTTAACTATGTTAATTAGGTTTACTAGGCAGGTGAGGGTAATTAGGCAAGTTATTGTATAGCTGTGTTTGATCTGTAGACTATCGAAAAAAATATAGCTTAATGGAAGTAATAATTTTGACCCTAAAATGGTGTGTGTGTGTGTGTGTATATATATATATATATATATATATATATATATATATATATATATATATATATATATATATAAGACGAACTACCAACCTACGTCACACGACACTGGTTGCAAAAAGAGACCAGTTGCAATTGCATATCATGTCGTGTTGTAGCGTAATATGGTAATATGTAAAATTATGACAAAAAAACATGTGATTTTGATGACATTTTTAGATTATAATCTAAAATCATGCTGAAAGACATGAAATGCCATCCGTCTACTGAGACATTTCCCTGTTGATATTGGAAAATCACAATAATTAACCTTGAAAAAGCCAAAGCAGCGCACACACTACCAGATTACTGTTGTTTTTGCAACAAGGAAAAAGGCTAAACACATGTGGGCATTTCTTCTTTCTTTTTTTACTGAATTAGTCTGCAGTAACGAAAACAGGAGACACATTAGAAACAAACAGATGGTCAACCAGAAAGTAACTCAGGATTATACAAAGAGTGGCCAACATTAAATACACACATTCCTAATAAAAGTCCTATCTCACACTCAACCTACTACAATTACTATGATATAAATACAGCACTACAACATACAAAAGAGAGAGTTTGACATAGAAAGTCAATAGCGACGTCTTTGCTCTGCTCAATGACAGGCTGAGGGATGCCAATCCAAATGCATCTCCAATCTCCAAAAATATAAATAATTAAAATAGGCACAATCCTTATCAATGAACTGCATAAATGTAATCTAAACAAGTACATTCTCACCTAAAAAAAAAACCAAAAGTACATTTTATTTTCCAGCAGCTGCAATATTTGTCAAACTGTAGTGAGTTTATTGATCTGCTGTCACTCTATGTGGGTGGAGTAATACAGAAAGGTGAGGAGGCTGTACGAGTTCTGATTTTACAGAATATCGCACTGCTGTTAGCCAATCAGATTCGATTTATATATTTAGAATATGTCAGAAAACTAACAAATTTTCACTATTTTTGAATGAGTTTAAGCTAAAAAATAAGAACTGTTTATTTTTTAAGGCACAAAACGTCCCTTCTCCGCTTTTTGTGCTACTGAGATTTTTAGTAAAAGCTACTGCAGAGGAGACACTGTCTTTTTTAAAGACTTCAAAAATCTTAAAAGATTTGATAATGGGGCATCGTAGCAGCCGAGTAGCATATTTTGAATTCACCCAAGCCGGGTCTAGGTGTTGAGCTACTGAAAATAAATGCTGCTCTGCTTAATGAGAGGCCATGTGCTTCATTTAACAAATGTGATTCTTTTTATATTGTAATGGGATTGGATCTCATTTTACACACAAGATGCTCAAGTATACCCTACAAATAGCAAACAGCTGCGCTCAGAATGACCACCGGTTTTGTTAAACACGCAGCTTGCGAATTCAATTCTGAAATTGCAGAGTCTATAAACACAGAGACTATGTGCTTCAAAACATTCACAAACATTGGTTCTGACCTTGCTTTTGACATGGTTAGACAAGTATACTATAATTCCGGCCTTGAATAAAAAGTGCTGCCCTGAAGGCTGGGTAACTTGGAATTGTGCCTAATGGTGTTCAGACTTTGTTGGCTAAACTGAGCTGGGGATATTTGATTTTACCCATCAATTATTTAATAAAGCCTGACCTTTTATTGAGGAGTATACATTTTTCTCCTTCCATTGTCCCTATTTAGTGTCCATGTTTTAGACCTACAGCAAAAAAAAGAGTGTGTGTGGTGGAAGGAACAAGATCGTACCTGCCAGTCTGACGAGCGTATCCTCTCCTCTCTCTTCACCTCTGACAGCTTAGATAGCACTGAGAAATGAAAAGATTCCAAACCAAAGTTGAGAATACTGCTGTCAAAGCCAAAGTTTTCTTAAGGGAAGAAAAAAAATGCTGTTTATAATGACAAGATTGGGAGGGTGAAATGTGATAACAAGAAATTCTTGATACAAGTGTAGACTGGAACGCTTAGAGGAGAGGCCTTGAGGCGTCAAGTTCTCACTTGCTCTTCACTGACACAGACCACTTGGGTTGTTACATTAAAAAAAAACTTGGAATAATTAGTTCATTGGGATAAGATGCATCAAATACATATTCCGTTAAACCTAAAAAGACAAAATGTTTGAGTAGCTGATTTCCAGCCAATAACAACGAATGGTGACCAAAGCACTCAAGGAAAACATTTGTTGAATAACGTCATTTTTTTCCATACATAAATGATCATATGGCTTAATTTGGCATACAGCAAAAAAGTTATATTGGTCAGTTATCGTAGTTTACAAATGCTCCATTTTGGAGCTTGATTGGTTCCCATTCAATTTCACCTACTGTACTTGTTTTTATATCGAAGAAAGCCACTCATAATGATTGGGAATGACATAAGCATGGCCAAATTATATTTTTTGAGTCAGATAATCTTTTAAATCCCGTTTTTTTCCACAATTGGACTTGGACTTTTCGACATCCAGTGGATAAATTCAAGAATGTAAGTAATCAGAGAGATTTTGGCGCTGTGTGGTAAATCAGCAAATCAAATTTGTTCCTTTCTATGAAGTTGACATGTGCGAACATGTTGCTTTTCAGCATTTCTCTGACTTTGTTTGCATATGTGGAAGCTAATTCATTAAATGCCAAACTGCACAATAGTGGAAGCTTGTTTTGGGCTGTAAGGTAATAATTTAAAGAAAAAATTGACCTCTTTCAAACCATCTCTGAACCCTTGAATAGGGTGAATTAAGTCAGACTAACTACAAAAAGGAACAGCTGGAATGCCGAAGAAAATTGGGAAGAAAAAAGATGGCATGGACTCTCGTATTAAGTATTGCAGTAGCTTTTGAATTTGTGGAAAAAGTGATGAAACATGAGCAGGGAGAATGAAAGAAAGAAATATGATATTGAGATTTTTTTTGGTGTGACTCTGTTCATT